CAACGGACAGCGCACTACCCCGGGTACCTCGTGCCACGATCTTCTCGCACACGCCGTGCTGTAGCTTCGCTGGGCATCGACGCGTGATCACGGAGTTGGAGCAGGTGGTGTTGGCGCCGGCGGGGTAGGGACGGCAGCGCATGTACTGCGAGGCGGAGTACATGCACATCCTGCCGGCTCGGACGTCAGGGGGGCGTGCACTTGTGTGCGAGGGGAGGAAGAGAGAGAGAAAGCAATGGCGATGGCCGAGCCGATGCGGGGGAGCTGGACTCGGACGGAGAGGGGGAGCTCTGCTTGGGCGGGCGGTCGGTCGATGATCGAGTCGGGACTCGGTTCCTGCGCTGGGAGCACAGAGATCGGTCTTGGATCGGGGGTTTGGAGCCTGCTGCCACGTTGCGGATCGGAGACCGCGACCCGGAGCAAAGATGGGCGGGTCGTTGCGAGGAAAGAAAACGCTGCACGGCGGGAGGTTCGCTTGCGCGATGGCGGAGTTGGGGTCGACGACCTCCTGGCTTGACGCTAGCGATTGGAGTGATCGGGAGGCCCGATGTCCCTCCCCTCCATGCCTCCCTCGCTCCTCGCTCCTCGCAGCGACAACGGAAGCGCGCAGCATAATAAGAGAAGGAAGTTTCCTCCGCCCCGTTTCTGTCTTCGAATTCTAGCACCAGCGAAGATAGAAGTCCCGCCAGTTTGCGACTGGCCGGGGTAGCCTATACAGTTACCCTCGGCTCGTAGTTGGGGAGCAAGTAAACAGAGGGGATCACACCGTTCTGGGCGCCTCGAGCATCCCCTCCCGTCCCCTACTCTGAAGCTCTTTCATCCGAAATCTCCAACCCAAGCTCCTCCCATCCCCAATTCCTGGCAGCGGAGGGCGTCGTCTCGGGGCCCAGCCGGACCTACCCCTTTCAGCCTGCCGTCGAGACCAGTCATTGACACAAGAACGAGCCAGAAGAATACAGATCCATGACCCCAAGCCGTCGCGAATCTGGCGGGTGATTCTAGCTGCCTGCAGAGGAAACGCAGAGAGTCCCCTTGGTCCAGCTGCTGAAAGATGCGGATCCATCGCCCGCCTGAGGAGGCCGAACGTCTTGACGAGTCGGTTAATGGTTGTTGATCTGGGTCTCGACTTGTTCTCGACAACCGATAACCGAGCCCTGGACCCCGATTCCCCTCGCTCGGCTAACTGTAAATATGCCCAGTCGGCCCCTATCTGCAGCGACGGATTAACCGCGAGAGATGGTATCCCGCGTTGCGATCTGTGAGTCCACCCATACTGTTTGTCTGTGAAAGAGAGCTTATAGAGTTATGCAACGTGTAGCAAGGCCTCCACGAAGGAGCCACAGGACCAGATACATACAGCCTTACAATTCCGGAGGGTGGGAACTCTCTGCATTCACATGCCCTTGCATCGCCCTTCCACGTGCCCATTCTGGCGAACGTCGCCCAAAGATCCAAGTTTTCGCGCTCGTCTTCTCCGGTCTCCTCTATCCGGCCAGGCTCATCAGAGCGGGCTGCTTCTACCGCCGCTTTTAGTGTTCCTCTTTTGTATAGTCAGCTCTCCACCCTCCCTCCACCCCCCGAGCCATCACCTTCTCGCAGCCAGATATTCGAGCGGCAGCACCACCCTCCGCCGCTATCCTCGTCATCAGAATCCTATGTACTTCGTTAATCTAGAACCACCATCCCCGAACGAATAATGCTGGCCCGAGGTGCCATACTAACTGAATCCCAGCCCACAAATCAGTGATCATATCCTCACGTGTACTGTTCCAACCACTTACTCGATATGCCCAGCAGAAGCTCATCCCTACAATGCCCCAACGGAGTCCTTCTGTACTGGTGTAGCTCCTAGAACCTCTCTCTCTTTCAATGCCCCGACGGAGTCCTTCTGTACTGGGACAGACCCCAGAACCTCTCTCTCTTTCAATGCCCCGACGGAGTCCTTCTGCACTGGTGTAGCTCCCAGAACCTCTCTCTCTTTCAATGCCCCGACGGAGTCCTTCTGCACTGGTGTAGCTCCCAGAACCTCTCTCTCTTTCAATGCCCCGACGGAGTCCTTCTGCACTGGTGTAGCTCCCAGAACCTCTCTCTCTTTCAATGCCCCGACGGAGTCCTTCTGCACTGGTGTAGCTCCCAGAACCTCTCTCTCTTTCAATGCCCCGACGGAGTCCTTCTGTACTGGGACAGACCCCAGAACCTCTCTCGTTCCCAATGCCGAAACGAATTCCCTCACCTGATCAACGGCCCCTAGAATCTCTCGGGGGAGGAGAGCAATCACGGGCAGGGAGCAGTAAATGCTGCCTTTTTCATTCATTCATTCATTCATTCATTCATTCATTCATTCGTTCATTCGTTCATTCGTTCATTTATTCACTCACTCACTCAACCAACCAACCAACCAACCACCCCACCCATCCATCCGTCCATCACCTACAAACCCAGAGCCTCCCCCCCCGTCCCCCCCCCCTCCCCCACGACCAAAAGAAAAAAAAAAGAAAAAAAGAAAGAAAAAGAAAAAAAAAAAAGCCCTTCCTTCCCATACCGACACCCAGCCAGAAGGTCCCACCTACCCACCTACCTACTCGTACTGTATCACCACAAGCCCCTCCCCCGTAAACGTGCATCGAACTGCTATCCTGCATACATACACACATACACGCACAACAAAGACGACGAACACGCCACGCCACGACACGAGCCAATAACAGACAGACAGACGGACAGACGGGACGAGAGAAAGCGGTAATCACCTCTCAGGCTCAGCTCTCCGCAAGTTGGGTTAGGTTATATTAGGTTCGGTTCGGTTCCCCCCTCTCATCTGCTCTGCTCTGCTCTGCTCTGCTCTGCTCTGGTGTTCCCGCTCGCCTGGAGCGAGACGTTGGATATGATGATGTGATGATGTGATGATGACGGGGAGTACTTCTTCGTGCTAGTCTGTCTGTCTGCATGATGGGATGGGATGGGATGTGGGGTGGGGTGGGGTGGGGTGGGAGAATTGCTTTTTTTTAAGCGGTGGGGGGGCAGGGGGGGGGGTTGCTTATTTTTTTGCCTTTTGCTTTCCAAAAGGGAAAAAGGAAAAAAGAATGGAGTGAGGATAAGCTGCGTGCGTGCGTGCGTGCGTACCTACTTGCTTGCTTGCTTGCTAGCTTGTATGTTTGACTTGGTGCCGGGGCGTCGATTCGAGCGAGCCGTGGAGAGCGGTGGCGATGCAATGCAGTAGTGGTAATGGCAATGGCAATGCGGGGGAAGAGGAGGAGGAGGAGGAGGATGATGAGGATGGTGATTGGAGGTGCGGAGGGCGGAAGGACGGACGGACGAACGAACGAACGAACGAACGAGCCCCTTTTCCTTTTGTCTCTCGCCTGGCCGGGCGAGGTTGACGTGTTCGTGGCGCGGCGTGGGCGAGAGGAGGAGGGGGGTTGGACGTGTCCATTGTCGGTCTCGCGGTTTCATATTGTCTCTGACTCAATTGGAGGGCGCTCGGCATTTATCGTCGGGGTGGCTTTGGTAAGTAGATGGTATCTAGGTGGGACGGGTGCGATGATAGCACTGATTGATTGAGTGAGTGAGTGAGTGAGTGAGTGAGTGAGTGAGTGAGTGAGTGAGTGAGTGAGTGAGTGATTGATTGAATATCGAGTCATGTGCAGTATCTATTCCTGTGATACTATACGTATCATGTTGTAAATCTCCTTATCTGGATCAGATGCGTCGCTGTATGCATCCAGATACCGAGCGAATGTCTTGTCGCCCTTTCCTTTCTCGTGCGTGATGTATTCCCAGCCTTCCATACATCGTGACGAATCCAAACGCCCCTGAACCACCGCTCGTCGCCGTCTCATCTCCGTGCCGTGCCGTGCCGTGCCGCACGTACCCGGACAGTGAGTACACGCACACGTGACGTTCCCCCGTTCCACCGTTGCACCGTTGCACCGTTCCACGGAAACGCGTGACGAAGATCTGGTCCGCACGTACGTAAGTAGTACGTAGATTGGGTTTGGGCGTCCTTGTCGACCCCGCGGCCGGCCACGCATGATCGGCTCACCTTACGTCTAATTTAGTCGAGGCCGACGGTCCCGCGCCGACAAAGCGACGTTGGCACGACGGCGGAGAGGGATGAGCCGCAACGTTGATCCCGGTCGGGCGATGGGTCACCCCCTGGCTGGAGATCAGGGCAGGGTAGGGTAGGCCAGGGCAGATCCAGACCGGGAACCCGGAGCCCTGCACTGACCTGATCGCGCATTGCTTGCTGAAAGAGACTTTTGTGGGGGGGAGGTAAATCTGTCTATTGTTCTTGATGAGTTTCTGGGGTTTGACTTCAGAGCTAGTGAGCCAGCCCGCCAGCCAGCCAGCCCCTTCGTCTTGTCTTCCATTTCAGCGAGTCGATTCGCGGGTGGGATGATTCGCTCTTGAATGGATGGATGGATGGATGGATGGATGGATGGGTGCTTTCCGTTCCCGTCCACCGCGGCGGGCTGAAACGGATGACGACAGGATGAACACTCACCTTCACCTCCAACTTCAGCTTCAGCTTCAGCCTCACCTGCACCTTCACCTCCGACTCGGGGTTTCCTTGGCAGTGGTGGACTGATACGGACGAGGACAGCACCGTACCTCCTCCTTTCTGTTGGTTGCCTTGCCGCCGTGTCCTCCTGTCCCCCTGTCTCCTTTCCTCGTCTCGGTCACGCCTGATTGCCCAGATTGCCCAGACTGCCTACCCGCCCGCACCTCTTGGCGGCCGGGCAGGCTTTATCTGCCTCCATCTACGTAGTACCTCCCTCCACCTACTACGTACGCACAGTAGTACTTCCATTCCCCCCTTCTGCGTCTCGCTCGCAATTCCCCGGCGTGTTTGACTTGGCTTGGCGCTACCGAAACTTGGGATCTTCGGCTGTCTGAGGCTGAGATGCCCTCTCGGCCTATCGTTTCTATCGTTTCTCATCCATTCTGACCTCATGCTGTCCTATGCGGTCCCATGCGGTCCTATGCCCCCATCCCCCCGATTGCTTCATCATCTCTTTATCAGCCAGCCAAAATCCATCATGATGCGAAGCGATGCCTGCCCTGTCCTGCTCTGCAATGCCATAGGTATCGGCTTCTGGATCAACCCCCCAAGGCCACTTATTTCTTCTTCTTCTTCTTCTTCTTCTTCTTCTTCTTCTTCTTCTTCTTCTCTCCTCCTCCCTCCTTCACCACCACCACCACCATCCCTTCCCTCTTCTTCCCTCTCCTTCCCTCTCCTTCTTCCTCTCTCCCTCCTTTCTTCTCCCCATCTCGGCCGTGCCGTTCGTTGATCGATATCTTCGTTTCCTGCGCCCGAAACTACATTCTTTCGCCCCAGCCGCCTGCCTACGCATTTTCGTTTCGTGGATCCATCTACCACCACTTCGTTTCTTCACCTATTGTACTTCACTTCTGTCTTCACCTTTCTCTTCACTTCTATCGTCACGTTTCGCTTCACTTCACTTCTCGCCCGCTGGTTCGACTTTTATATTCATTGACTCACTCACTCAATCACGTACTCACGTACTTACAACCACTCCCATCAACCCCCACGCCGGCTTCCTTTCCATCTTCATTTTTCGCCCGCTTGCACGACGTGCACCACGCCCACAAGCGCACAACTCCCCCAACCCCAAACTAAATAACAACCCAAACCATGTTCTCCCGTCCCTCGCTCTTGCGGTGCCTCGCACTCTGGCTCACCGGCAGTACGCTCGTGCAGTCCGCTCCGGCACCACACACCGGAGGACCCGCCCTCAACGGCATCGGCGTGCCGATCCACAACCCTGAGGCCAAGAACATCGTCGCCAATCGGTACATCGTCGTCTACAACGACGACTGCAGCGACGAGATGGTGGAGGAGCACCAGCTACACATGTCTGTCGCGCTGAAGAAGCGCAATCTGAACAAGCGCGCGCTCGACGGCCGGATGATGTCGACCTCCATCGCCCCCTTTGCCATGCAAGGTTGGCGAGGCACGTGTCTGGATGCCGATGACGAGATGATGCTGGATATCGCCAGTATGAAAGGTGTACGTGGTTCTTCTTCTTCTTCTGCTTCTTCATCTACCTCTTCTTCTAACATTCCTCCTCTCATCTACAGGTCAAGTACATCGAGGCCGATACCGTGGTCAAGATCGACGCTCTCGTGTCGCAGCCAGCCGCTCCCGATGCCTTATCGCGCATCTCTCATGCTAACCCCGGGGGGTCGGGCTACGTTTTCGACAACAGCGCGGGGGCTGGCATTACAGTTTATGTCGTCGACACCGGGATCTTGACGTCGCACCAGGTGCGGCTCCCCCTTCCGCGCCCTTCGGCCCAGTCTGGGAGGGATGGTGATGCTGACGGAAACAGGAGTACGCCGGACGCGCCTCCTGGGGAGCAAACTTTGTCAACGATATCGACGAGGACGAGAACGGCCACGGGACGCACGTCGCCGGTTCCGTGGGCGGTGCCACCTTTGGCGTTGCCAAGCAGGCCCAGCTGGTAGCCGTCAAGACGCTCGACGCCGAGGGAGCGGGAACGAACTCGGGCGTCCTCGCCGGTCTCAACTTTGGTATGCTCGCCGAGGACTCTCGCTCCGCCCCGGAGACGGTGGATACTAACGTGGTTCTAGTCGAAACCGACGTCACAGCCCGCGGCCTCGGCGGGAAAGCCATCATGAACATGTCCATCGGCGGCTCCAAATCGGCGGCCCTCAACGCCGCCGTCGAAGCCCTCACGCGCGCCGGGGTCACGGTGGTCGTGGCCGCCGGAAACGAGGGCCAAGACTCGGCCAACGTCTCCCCGGCCTCCTCCCCCTCCGCCATCACGGTCGGCGCCATCGACGAGACCGACACCATCGCCGAGTTTAGCAACTTCGGACCGTATGTGGACATCTTTGCGCCGGGGGTGCAAGTCCAGAGCGCCGGAATCCGGGGTGACAGCTCGACTCAGGTGCTGAGTGGGACGAGTATGGGTAGGTGTCGCCCTGAGGACTTGGAACGGACGTCAGGCTAACGGTGATCCACAGCCTGCCCTCACATTGCGGGCCTCGCCGCCTACCTCATGAATTTGGAGAACCTGGAGGCGCCTGAGGACGTCAAGGCACGGATCAAGCAGCTGGCCGCGAGTACCGGCGCTGCGGTGAAAGGTGCCAACCAGGAGACGACGACGCTGATTGCGTATAACGGGGATGGATTCTAGCGAGAGGCAGGGAAGTGACAAGAAGTACATAGACTCACTGGTGCATGAGTCGGGGACGGAATTCATTTGGGAACTTTTTTTTCTCATGATTTTTTTCACGATTTGTTTTCTTATGCAATATACCCCTGGTTGAAAAAAAAAAGATGAATGAAACCTCTCATATAGTACTCGTAGGGACTGGGGTCTCTGGACGTGCGTAGGTGCGTAGGTGCGTAGAAGTGGGTTTTTTTCCC